ATATGCTTACTTTATTTCTGACTAATAATCAGCTGAAAATATTAGAGTCTGTAGACAAGTGCTTACATTTTTAATGGATGCAGGCTTTGTTTATCAGTGTTACCAAAATCACATCACAGTGATCAGCAGTGTTACGAAAATCACAGGTAAGGGTTATCAAGGTTTTGTTTATGTAACCCTTCATTTTTATTTAAGCTATTTTTTTTAAGAAAAGTTCAAACATTTGGTAAACATAAGGTTTTTACTTGATTTAGGTTTGTTATTTTTCATACCAAAAAAGTCGAAGCCAAAAATTGAACACTATGAATTCTTTATTAGCGTCCTAAATTAAGAGACTGATAAACAGATTCAATACATCAAACTGAAAATTAATTGTAAGAAGTAATGTTGTTGCCCTTAGGCCGTAGTCTTCAGTCATGCTTACAGACGCCAGTGGCTGGTCAGCTGCTGGTCCCTTGCGATGCCGACTGCAGAGGAAAACACTTGCATCCTTTTACAGCCCTTTTTATGTCATTCAGTTCTAATTTGCCATCCGCTATCATAGCTTTACTATGGACATTCTCAAATGGGCATTGGAGGCTTGACATAAAACCACAAAGGCAACGACATTCCAAGTTAAAGCTGAAACTTCATTCTTAATTCGCTTGGTTGTGCGGGGGTGCTGCCGAGCGTGTTGGAACACCCAGTGTTTGAAGCCCTGCCTGTACCCACACACAATAGAACAAGTTAAGGATGGAATTTCAGCCTGAGCCTTAACGTTAATGCAGCATAGCTCTTTCTGGTTTGATTTCTTCTTATATGGCACTGTTAAAGACAAAAATAAGCCCCAGTCAATCTTGGAGTCATTTTAAATTGTGCTTATAAGAATCTTGTGCAAGCAATAGTAATAGATTCTTCTCACTCATTGCCTCTCAGTAAATTTGAATTTTTGTATCCTGCTTGCTTTGAGTGTGCACTGTTGGAAACTGCTGAGGTGTTAGATTCCAGATACCTTGATATCTGAAGTCCAGCCTTAAATACATAATTGTTTCCTACAGTATACCTATCTACTTGAAACTCATTTTGTGGAATAGAATTAAAGAGGGAGACTCTGCTTTTTGCCCTGTACATGCATTTTTGTGAACAAAATGAGCTTTGACAGTGTTTTTAGAAATGTCAGGAATGTCAAATCTTTTTTGTCTGAAGGACTCCTTGGATTTAGTTGAAGTGGGAATGATACTGAATTGTTGAAAGAGAGCTTGCTCCCTTATGCGTGCTTTAGAGTGGTACTTTAAAAGAAGATCAATCTTAATTTTAAGTGATTGAATCAGCCTTTTCTTCAAAACATAATTTTTATTCAGTCTTTGGTTAGGCATTTGGAATAGTGATTAGACTAGTTATTCAGTCATTTATCGCTTCTCAGAGCAAGTGAGAGTTATGCTTCTAATCTTTCTTCAAAAATCCATAGCTCTCTGCATCTTCCCATGTGTTTCCATCCTTTACCAACTATCTTCGGTGGGTCCAGCATCCCTACGTGCTGAAGACATGGAGGGGTATATATTTCTGAAGAGAACAATGGTGAAGGAGGGGCGATACAGCTTTTAAAAGGACATGTAAGCTGCTATTGTGGGCTTGTCTATATTTTACATTTAGCCACATGGCATGGCCTGTACCTGCTTTGCCCAGCGACAGGACAAGGGGCAGCAGGCACAAACTGAAGCACAGGAAGTTCCGTCTGAACATGAGGAAGAACTTCTTCCCTCTGAGGGTGACGGAGCACTGGAACAGGTTGCCCAGGGAGATTGTGGAGTCTCCTTCTCTGGAGATATTCAAGGCCCGCCTGGACGCGGTCCTGTGCAGCCTGGTGTAGGTGACCCTGCTTCGGCAGGCGGGTTGGACCAGATGACCCACAGAGGTCCCTTCCAACCCTGAACATTCTGTGATTCTGTGATTCTGTGCTTAAGGATGCCCATGTCCCCTGTTCTTGAGACAGTAGATCTGCTTTTGCTCTGGATTAGGGACCATCCTAAACCATAGTTTCAGGAATAACTTCATCACAGGCAATAGTAGTCCAGAAACAGCAAACAATTTTGTGTAAAGAAATGATAAAGCAAAGAGTTTGCTAATTATGCTTCAGAACACCTTCTGAAATGATTATTTTGATTTGGAGAATAATCATAGTAAAGTGTTAGCGCTCATATTTTTTGTTTAGGTTATGAGAGTGGTTTTGTGTGTTGAAATGGAGAAGAACTGAGGCAGTATGAGGGTCGTAGTTGGCAGTGTGACTAAAAGTGTGATGACCACAATATGAGAAAGATATTGCTTAAAAGTTAATTAAATGCAGACTGTATGTTTAAGGAAGAAATTAAGAAGAGTAAGCGTAAGATCATCAGTACTGATTTTTAAAGGGCAAACATCCAGCTACATTCTATTTAATTAAAATTGCACAAATTATTGTATTGAATATTTTTGTCAAATTATAAATTATGTGGCTTACACCTCAGGAGTCATCACTTTTTCAATGTCATTACACCTTGATTGTGAATTTCTAGTCTCTGATGCCAAATGTAGCAGGTTCACGTCCTTAATTGTTATTAAACCAATTTGAACAGTATTATTGTTGGTTTTGGAAAACACTGTGAAAAAGATGGCAATTAAAAGACCTTATCTCATCATGATGTGCTGTTTTGGTATGTGGCCACTGATGCCACCTGCCTTCTCCCTGGACAGTAAAAATCTCCATACTCCTTACACACTTTCTGGTCTGGCTGAAGCGCGTAGCAGCTCTGCCACCACCTCTACTCCTCTGAGCTTCCACCCTCCTCATGTCTGCCCAGATTTTCAATCTCTCATGCAACACAATCGTGCAAATGCGTTTGGTGGGAAGGAAGGTCGACTTTTTTAGTGGTGCTCTCTGTCTCCCTATGTCTTCTGAGCTGTCTGTCCAGACAGCTAAAAAAAGTCCCCGTAACTGCACTCGAGAACTGCCATTCTCACCACTCGTTGCAAAGGGCGCCTGGACCACATTTAATGAAGGTGCTGGTGGTGCAGCTGTGTGAAGCTCCAGTGGAGAGCTCAGCCTAATCATCTTGGTAACTTCCCCGTAGGCGGTGGCAGGTTGCTGTTACGTCCCCATGAAGCTTTCTCTTCTCTGGTTTGAGAAAGCCCAGTTCTGTCAGCTTCCAGATGTTCTGTAGTGAAAAGGATCTTAAGAAGAACTTTAAGATTTTTTTTTCTTAGGTTTTGTGCAGATTGTGGAGCCGCTTGGGGAAATTTCAGTCTTTATTCTCATAACTGTTGAGGGAGTAAAACTTACTCAGCATTTTTGAAATATTTTGGTAGGCTTTTTATTTTGTCTGTACATGTTTCCCTTTCAGACCTTCACTGGGTTCTGCCTTGTGCTCCTCCGTAAAGTGCAAAATAATGGGATATAAGTCCAAACATATTGCTTTCATGTTAAACTTCTGCACTCCTGATTGTTGCAGTCTTTTTTTTTTCCTTTAAAATTAACATATTTCGAGTATGCTGTAGAGACTGTCACAGTAACCATACTGAAACATGGGGGGGAAGCAGAAATAACCATACCTGTCAATCATAAAGATGGCAGGTCAGCTTTGTAGCTGGTGTAAATTGGTTTGCTGCCATTGCCATGAATTTTCAGTCTGAGGGCCATATGCTGTTGAGAAGTAGTAAGCAGCTACACATGAGCACCTGAGCTCTAGCATAGCTTGTGCTGAGCTCGTGCTGATGTCTGGAGGGGTCAGGGTGCATGTAGCAGATGTTGAACTTTTCATACAGTGACAGAACATCAGGAATTTTGGAGAAGCTTTGAAAACAAAGTAGGAGATGTCACCTTGCTTGTTGCTATAACCAGTGTTGACTTCAGCAAAGCCAAGGGAGATGTTCCCCGTGCTGTCCTCCCTCCTTCACTGGCATCCTGTCTGTCTTTGCTGGAAGGTGTGATGCAGCACCTCCGTAGGCCATGTCCTAGGCTGTACCTGCTCGTCTGCATCACATGCCGAGTAATGCCACGGGCACTAATCTGGCTGCAGATCCATCCTGCTGTTCACTGACTTGTTTCAAGTATGTTCAAGTTGGGATCTTGGTACTTAGCCTTGGATTTTCTTGCTTTTCCTTCGCTTTCTCACATCCTTGAACAATCACAACTATGATGCTGCTGGTAGTAAAATTGTTCTGTGATTAATGTTTAAATGCACACAGTGCGTTCTGAATTTTGGAGTGTCTCGTTTTCCTGTTCTCACTTATTATCTCTGAAATCCTAAAGTATAAATGTCTCTGTTTCACTGTGTCTGTGTCCTCTTTTGCTGCCATTAAGTGCTGTTACTACTCACCAGAGTGTTGTCAACTTGTATGATTTCAATCAGGAGTCTCTCAATGTTTAAAGGGGGGTGTTTGGAAGTTTTTTGGTTGCTTAGCTAGTTGAATCTTTGGCTATGCTGATATGATCTGTGACTATTTTGTTGGTATTTTCATTACTTTTACAGTTTTTCTAAGTTCTCTGAAGGATAGGCCCATACTTGAACTGGAACATCATTATTCTCCCATCTGAAGAGTTGCTCCACAACTTGATAATTAACTTCAGGAGTGAGTTATTTGCATGGATGCAAAGCACATTTCAGCCTTTGCTGAGCCAGTCACTAACCTGGTGAGATACTATTTGCTGTTTGGTCAGTTTAGTTTTTTGTTGAGTTAGCGAGCTGCTTGGCACGGGAAGAGTCTAACAGGTAGCAGAGCTGGCAAACGAGGAGGTACAGGACCATATGGCCAAAAGCAGAGGAGTGGGAAGCAAGGGCAGCCTTTGGTGACAGCAAGCAATTAATTTCGCTCATCTGTGTTAAGGCATGCTCTCAGTGAAGCAAAAAAATCCTTTGAATGTCATATAAGCATGTCATTCATTAAGACCATGCCATAAAAGCTTTAATTCCTGGTAGTCTTTTGTTGCGGCTACCCATAAAATACTGAGATTAATCAAGATTGGATATAGGATTCTTTCTAATTAGAGAGTTGGTCTACAAATGCAACCATCTTTTTGCATGGATTTTTTTTCTGTTTCAGAAGGAAGATGTCATTAACGCGGAAAGAGACGAAAGACTGTCCCTTCGGAAGCATCGCTTCATGCATTTTGCATCGCTGGAGTATGAAGGAGAATATTACATGACACCAAGAGATTTCTTGTTCTCAGTAGTGTTTGATCAAGTTGAACGTAAGTTATTTTCTCATCATTGTGTTTGTGAAGGAAATGAAACTTTCAGGTCCTCTTAAAGATGTAATTTGAAAATCACTGGGATGAGATCCTTTATCTGACATAAGTCAGCAGAAGCCAATTTGTAAATGTTGTGCATATGGATCCTCACAGGCACCACTTCACCAGTGAAGTGAGGCTGATGATTTAGAAATCTGGTGACTTGATGATGACATTACGTCTCTGCATAATTTACATGTCTGATCAGTATGTAGTTCCTCAATTACTTAACATACCACAGAAAATAGTAGGACTGTAATATAATAGTGTTCATACCGTTCCTGGCCCTGTTATCTCTCTATCCACTTCACCAGTAAGTACTCTGTGACCTTTTTTCTTAGAAGAGGCAGTAATGGGAGTGACTTGAATGAGTGTAATGAAGCATTAAGCTCAGCTCTAGGTTTCTGGTTTCAAATCTCCTCTGGTTTGTACAAAGCCTAGTTAAGAACTAATTAAAATTTTATGCATGTTTTTAAAAATGTACTTAAAAAGCATGCTTGCTGAGGAGAAGATAGGACCAGCACATAAAAAGTGCTGAGGTTGTTGTCCTCCTTTCCTCCTGGTTTTCCAGCTTTGTTAACTCTGCCCCATTCCGTAAGCTGCTTTTATCTGTCTTTGTATCATCTTGTGTAATTTCCACGTTACAGTAATTTTTTTTTAAGTTATATATGTTTTTTTCTCCAAAAATTTGGCTTTTACAGCTTTCCTGAGTTTTTTTTTGCTTTAGAAAGGTTAAGTTCTCCAAGTTTCAGAGCAGATTGTTGTTCAGAGGACAAATACTCTGTTAGTATGTCTGTGGAG